GGGGGGGCAGCCACTGCAGCTCCCCCTTAGAACACATGAGGGGAAGAAAGGAGGGATGCGAGGGGACCAGAGAGCAAAGCGGGGGTTCGGGGCGACCCAGGCACGCAAGCACAGGGATGGTGGGGCAGCCCCCAGCACTGACCTTGCCATGTAGCCCAAGACGTGGGCCCGGATGACTATAGCTGCTTTCCTCAACTCCTCTTCCCGATCCTTCTCCAGCTTCTGCTCAAGAGCTTCCTTCAGGAAAACCTGACGCCACGGGGAGGAGTTTCAATAAACACAAAGAGAGGAAAGAAGTCAGTCCCCGGGAGAGCCGGGAGATTTCATCCCCGGGTGAGCAGCACAGAGCGCGCTCTGTGCCCGGCGGCCGCTCCCGCGCCGGCCCCGCTCCGGGCACCGGGAAAAACTTCTGCAGCCACAGGAGCCAAACTCCCTGCCCAGCCCCCGCCTCCCTCACTCTGTGGTCAAGACTTAAAAGAGAGAGAGGGAGGGAGCAGAGGAAGGAGGCAGAGGAGGGAGGAGGAGAACCTGTGCTTGCGCCCGGGTTAACTCTTTCACGGCTGACAGCTTCCCCTGCACGCGCCGGTGCCTCCTTGCAGCGAGCACTGGTGCCTACTTGGGTGATTAAGTATCTTGCAAGGAAACCCCTCCACATTTCAGGGAAAGGGAGGAACATGGAAGTTTCTATACTCCAAGGAGTCCGATCTGAGCAGTAATCCTAGTAACACAAGACAGGTGAAAGCTAAAAGCCCTGCCGAGGTGTGAAGCTGAACAGAGCCCACCGGCTCTGGGTGGAAGCTGAAGCCTTCCAGCAGGCTCCAGAAACTCTGAGGTGGAGATGCTTCCTGGCTGAAAAGGTTCAGCAATGCAGCATGCCCCATGGGGAACTGAGCCCTGATGGGAGAGGTCTCCAAATATTACCGAGTGCACTGCAGCGCCCAGAATTTTAATTCTCAAGCATCTTCCATCACCTGAATTTCACACCTCAGCTCAGTGCCTGTGTGAAGCATGATGGTGCTATCTTACAGACAAAAGGACTGAGATGCAAGCAGGATAAGGGCATGTTTACAGGAATTTTGATGACCTATCTGAGCTACTTTAAATCAGCTGGCTTGCATCATCTTAGTACAGAGCTCAGCACAAGTTGCTGAAATACATGCTGTGCTTTTTCACAGGGACTGCAGCTTGTACGGAGCTCTGTGATACTGTGGATACACAGCTAGCAGCACCCAGCCTAGATTAAAGTTGGCCAAGGTATGTCCGTACAAGGTGCAGTCACAGCAGTGGCTGCCATATGGCCATGCTGGTGTGACCTGCTTCCCGACTGTAGCCAAATCAGTGCCAGGGCCCGAAGCAGACGGGACTGCACTGGGAAAGTGCTGCTCCATGTGTTGCAGCACTGCCATGGGCACAGACTGTGAGCTCACATTCACCAACCTGCACAACTACATTAATCAGTAAAAACCCCTTACAAATGTATTGGATCCACGTGGCTAGCTAAGAGGTCAGAGAGATGGTCAGAGATTTGAACAGTTGCTTAGTCCTGTGCTGCACAAACTCTGCCCCTCCCCACTAACCTCCCCTTATGTCAGTTACCTTCCTTCCAATTGCTGGTTTTGGCCTCATCACTTACTTAGGTTCTTTTTTTTCCCTCTGCAATGACCACCATGTACTTAAATCTCTCCCTGAGTTAGTACTCATTGCCAGTGGCTTCCTTGGACTCAAATTTTTTCTGGGGAGCCGTTTCCATTAAGATGGCCTTAAGAAATCAGCTGTTTTGTAATGACTAAGTAACCATGAGTAGCCTTAAGAGAAGATCCATTTTCAAGGCACTGCCAATCATGAAGCTGGCATCCTTCCCTGCAAGTTGTACATCCACTCCCTCTGACAACAATCTTTTAAAGACTTCATTGAGGCAGGGACTGCTCTTTCCATTACATTCCAGAACCAAGCAGCAGTAATCCATTTCAATAATGCAACCAGCAAAATCCTGTCTCAGACCTTTATCTTCATCAAATTGCAAAAATATTCAGTCCATCAGTGTTTCATTAGCAAGCATAGACTTTGCTGTGCCAGGAAGGAGGAGGGAAAAAGCTAACTTGCAAGCATGCAGAGTTTAAGAAGATCCAGCCCTAATCCTATAGGGTTTTATATATATTCTTAAGAATGATGGGTTAATCTCAAATGGCATAACAATATCTAGTTATAAGCTACTGGCATTCTGATGGGTTTTTTTTAGACTCCTGTAGATGACAAGGAACAGTAAAATGTCTTCAATTCCAGAAATATTTTTGATGCCTTGTGGAAATAATTTGGAAGGTGGCCATTTGTCATAATTCATGGGCACTTTCTGAAAACTGGAGATGACTTCCATCTGATGAAGGACTGATGAAACAAAACATAGGAGGTTACTTCTATCATATATGCTCCTATTAGACCCTGGACAAGTTTTAAACCAAAGCACAGGACCGCAGTGCTCCTCACACAACCTCAATGCCTACAAGCACTGTCAGTGCAACAGTGAACATGTTAAGGTTACGTGTACATCAGCAGACATGAATGAACCTGCATGTGCACCCATGTGTACATAAGTGGGATCATATGATTCTTGGGGACAACACTTGGAAAGCAGGAAGTGGGTCACTGTGACCTGGATGTCAAATAGTCTACAGAAACCTCCTCTGTCACACAGGCCCTGCAAATCAGCAAGTTGAAATGTGGAAATTAAACCAGCAAGGATTACTGTGTTAAGCAGCCTTAGGGAATCTGTGCTGTAGATATGTCCAAGTGGACTGAGGAAAGGGGACAGAAGCTGCTGCTCCATCCCAGCACATCCCCAATGAAGACAAGGGCACCTGAGCACAAGATTTTCCATCATCACACTGCTTGTCTGCATCCAAGCCCCCATCTCTGCCATGCCACCAGATAAAACCTGCCTTATATACATTATTACTTTTTATAAACATTAATTTGACAATTGTCAGCACAGCAGCTGCTCTATTCTTAATGAAAAACACAAAGATCATCCTGCCCTTCCTCCCCAATTTCCTTTCCCAAGCTTCACAATCCCTTGCACTATTTCACAGAGTGTTTTCCTTCCTCCTCCAAACAATTGCTAGGGATATAATTATCCTTCCATTCATTTTGCAGGAAGTATTCCCCCTTCTGTAAGCCCTGGTCTTCACCCACCCCTTATACCTCTTTCTAGGTTACATCCCCATTGGCCTGTCACACCTTTTTCAGTAGCTACTCCTGACTCCATAAACCAAGGTTAGTGCTGGGAATCAGCAGATGGGTACCCAGAGCTGCACCTGTAGCAGCAAAAGTGGCAGCAAGGGCATACAGGGGACTTCATCTCCAGTACAATGACCTACTCCATGGGCTGGTAGCTTCACTTCACCCTTAACGTCTGGAAAAAGGCTTCTGGAAAAATCAGGGCTCTTGTCTTCACTAAGCCAAGTAAGTATTGCCGGCTTGTGTTGCCTACCACCAGCTAAAACATAAAATCCAAACCCAAGACACAACAGCTGGATACAGGAAAGGGCCTACCAGGAAGCACCACTGCTCTGCACATCCTCACCCTGCCATCTTCTTTCCTAGGGGCACTGTCACACAAACCACAGTTGCAAGAAGGGTCTCCAAGGGAGCAATGAAATGGCTTTACCACCATCTGAGTGTGGGAAAGAACGTCAAGCAATTCATCTGAAGAATGAAATGGCAGGACAATAGCAACAGCACCTTGGAGCAGCCAGGGGCTTGCTAGCCATTCAGCGTGGCAGCAAGGGTGGAACAGGGTAGGATAGCCTTGGAGTGACATATTCTTTAGAATAAATAGAACTGCTCCCATATACCAGGACATACATCTCTAATCCAAACTGTGCCAAACATAAAATAACTTCTGCAACCCAACGAGACAGCTCAACTGCTTCCCCACTCCTTTCACTTTTGCTTCTCAGTCATAAAGAAATAGCTACAAAGATTGCCATTTTTGGTAATTTCTTTCTTCCCACACTATTCAGACCCGGCAGCAGCCAGTGCCCTAGCAGAGACTGCTTTTACCAACAGGCTGCATACAGCTCTTCAGCCAAGTTTTAGTTTAACTGACACAATCATTTTTAAAAAATCGCATTACAGTATATCAAGTGTTTTGGCAAGATACAAACACATTTTGTTTGCCACAATTTGCCACCTATATTGTTTTTCCAAATTAATTTGCTTGTGCAGTCCAAGGAGAGAAAACAGACAGATGGTCTCAGTCCTTCTGGATGCACAATGGGAACTGAAGAGAAATGGGATCCTACTGCCATCCAGGGCTCAAAGAAGCCTGGATTTCCTGCTTGTCTTCAGTCTGTTATAGTCCCTGGACTTCAGCTATATAGCTTAGAACATTTTATACTCTAAAAGATGAGTATGTGCTTGTGCGTTTGGTCCTAACATGCATTTCCCTGCTGCGCTTTCTGTAGCCCAGCAATCTTCCATCTCTTGTCATGAGAGAAAGTAAGTTCCAATTCCATGTTTGTGAGCTCTAACCACCACTTTTCTAAAGGTTTCCCAGGCACAAGAAGCTCTGAAACATACACACACTCCACACAGACTGTTAACACTAAAATGCTGTGAGACTGGCAGCCAACCAAGCACTGTGGGTTATCTAAGGACAAGAATTAATTAAATAGTTCCTGGTTTGCAGAGACCAGTGAGGAGACACCAGATCCCCAAATCAAAGATGTGGAACACCCTAGTCACAGAGTAGAAATACAGCTAAAGGATAAAACCTTTTTGAACATCAGCAGAGGCATGTGAAGAAAGGCCTTAGAAACCTGAGGTTAATACATTTCCTTCCCATAGCAATGGCCAGGGGTTTGCTTGGTTGTCACACAGATTTCACAACTGAGACTACCCATTGGGCTACCACCACTCATGTAAGAAGGGGAAAAAAGGATCTCACTCTCTGACAAACATTTGAGTCTATCTACTCATTAAGAAATGTTTGCTCAAAGCAACAAATATAATTATCTGATCTCCTGGACAAACTAAATGTAAATATTCACTAGAATCACTTTATCATAGAATCATAGAATGGTTAAGGTTGGAACAGACCTTAAAGATCATCAGATTCCAACCTCCCTGCCTTGAGCAGGGACACCTCACACTAGACCAGGCTGCACAAAGCCTCATCCAGCCTGGCCTCCAACACCTCCAGGGAGAGGCTTCCACAACCCACCGTGCACTTGGCCTTGTTGAACTTGAGGTTGGCATTGGCCCACCCCTCCAGCCTGTCAGGGTTCTGAACTACTTTTTTGAAGGCTTAAGGGCAAAAAATGCAAGAAAGTTGCTTTGATGGACAAGCATTGGCTCTGGATTTGGACTGCATACCCACTACTTAGAAATGCTGTCTGCACTGGACATCATCCATCTTGGAATATTACTTGAATAATTTACTTGAGTGTGTGGAAAGTTGTGATAGAGACAGCTTCTCACTCCCAGATTTCTATACTATTATACCTCACAACACTCACATAAATTTCTGTGTGAAGCTGTCTCAAAGCTTGAAAAAACACCCAGACTAAAACACCCAGCTCCCTCCCCATTAAGTGAAACATAATGGTACATTTTCAACTGGATGTCTGGATAAAAACAAATAAACAGAAACCAACAAAAAAACCCAAACAACAAAAAAACACCAAAACACAAAAAACCCCACCCCAAAATCCAGACTGTACCAGGCAAGAGAGAAGTGTTAAACATTCACTGAAACAGAAGGAAAATCTGAATTATGCAAGTGGGGAGAAGTATTTGGATACCTTTTCCTAGCAAATGTATGCTGGCATCTGGGCTAACTGCACCAACCACCATCTGAGCTTCCACAGTAGAAAGCTGTCACACATCTGGTGATCCAGCTACCTATTCACAGTTTAGATATATACCAAGCAGTAGCTCACTGCCTCCTGCAAGAATTTTGATTAGGCAAGCAGAGTAAAATATCTGGCACAAGGGGCAAGAGTTAGTGGCACATATTGCAATTGCATAAAATGAGACCCATGCTTGTTCTCTTTAAATTGGATCAGACACAATAAAATCAATCTGGCTTGGTCAACAAGAGGTTTAGACAAAATCAAAGTGCCTTCTACATCTCTAGGTACATAATATAGGAAATATTTGAGATGCTACAGATCAGTGGCATAGTCCAGTGTATTTAAAGGGTCACCACTACTTTGCCCTTTCTACTGGCTTGAATCTCACCAGATACAATCACATCCCCTTGCAGCTGGAGCAAAGCTATACCCTGCCCCACACTGGTGAAGTACCTTGGTTTTACCCAACTGCCATTCTTTCTTGCTGCTGTCATAGGTCTGCAGAAAGTCTGCACATACAGCTTTGCTGTTGTCTGAGAAACTTGTCCCCTTCACCAGCATCTTGTACCTAAGAACCAAACAAAAACTCATGAGATCATGTATGACAGTAACCTGCCCCCACCCCCCAATCTTGTATGTCTAATTATCCTCCTCCCATTATTCCTTCTTTCTCTGGGCTCTCCCTTCTTCATGTTTGCCTTCCAATTTGGAAATTTTAATCCCCTAACCTTTATCTGTTCGTACCACCCTGGCAATTATTGTTGCAATCCCAGTAACAAAATACAAACTCAACAGCATTTTTCAGTAAGGAACAACTGTCTTTCTGAAGCACGTGCTTTCATCAGACACAAGTTATTTTGTTCAGTATAGGGATGGCATTTGATACTCCAAGAGACAAAGCAAGCAATGTTCAATGGTCCCTTCTAGCCTTAAACTTCAAGAAATCCTTTCGATGTGGCTAATTAAAATAAATTATCATTCTTTCCAATATTAATCATCAACTATACCGTCCATTAAATTTTGCTTCAGATTAAAAGTTTCAACTATGGTATTTTCTTTTTTAGGTATTACGACCAGCAGGGTTTCACAGCATCACACAAGCAAATCTGTGGCAAAGCTACATAACAGAAAAGAAATTAAAAAATGGACCATCTGGCTATTTTTCCATTCTGACTTGTGCCCTAAAGGCAAGTCTCCAAATCAGTGCATGATACAGGCAATAAGGGCACAGTTAGAAAAACATCTTGCAAATGATCCATATCAGTAACAGCAGGTATGGAGGGAACAAATATATAGAATTGTATACCTTGGGGCTGTTAGAGCATGCAGTACAGTGAGAGCAATTACCTGCCAAGGAAGTCCTGGAAAAGGCGCCGTATGGGGAAACCCGCTCTCCGAACTTTCACTGTCTCCAGCATCCCTGAGTACCGCAGCTGATTTAGCACCACATCTGGATTGAAGAGGTTTGGTGCCTACATAATGACCCAGATTCAAAAACAAAGAAGAAGTGAGCCAGAGTAAGTGTTGACCTTGGCATTACTTCTTTGCTGACATGAACAGTGACTGTTGCCCTGAGCACAGTCACAGGCTGTGTATCCATTACTCCGTAGAAAGACAACCGTGCATATTTGGACATGCCAGGTGAAAAGGGGAAAGTTTGTGTCAAGGGGAAAGCAATCCCACAATACTCCATGATGCAGAAAAAGATGAAATGGAGTTGCCAGATCTTGGAACAAAACAGTCTGCAGGCTGCTGTTATAGTCAGGTCACGGCAGTAAAGCAATGACATAATAGCGCATTAATAGACAGAAAATGCAGAACTCTGACTCAGTTCTCTTTGCAGTCTCTCTCCAGTCAAACTGGAGACAAACTGCAGAATATTTTTCTGGAATAAAACCCCCAGCAGGCTTTTCTCTGCCATATTGCTCATAGTTTCAAAACACACAAAATGATCAGTTTAGAGCTCCCCACACAATCTAGTTAGCAGCATATCCTCCAGTCACAGTTTAAAATACAAGTGAGAGCCAGCCTGTCTCTAAGCACTGTGACTTGCTCATGAAGAGTCCACGACCCCTGTGTCAGAGCCAGGGATCTGCAGGACATGCTTCCTACTGCACAAGCCCTGCATTCCAGAACAAATTGTCTACAGACACTACAATAGGAGTAATTGATTCTTCTACCACAGCTGTCCACAAGCCTGGTTCATCTTCCAGGCTTCAGAAGAACAGAAAGAGGTGGGAATGGCTCTATCACATCATACTCAGCATGCAGTTTTTTCTTCAGATTACCAGGAGGGTGTATTTTTCTGCAACTATAGAAGAGCCAGAAGGAAGGAGGGATGGTAAGGGGGAACTGCTCTTTTCCTCATTTTGGACCATGACAGAGGCACTTGTGAGGCATTTGTGCAAGTGAGCAGCTCGTGAAGGCCTGTGTGGCACTCACACATCCTGCTGGGAGACAGACTTGCCTTTTCGGTATTTGGTTTGATGCAACGGATGAAGAATGGATTGGAAGTACTAAGTGTGGCCATCAGGGAATGGAGAGAGTCCTAAAAAGCAGCAAGACAAAACCCAAAGGATCAGTCAGTACAGGAGAGAAAGGGGTGACATGTGATACAATAGGTTTCTCATGCAGCCCTCCCATTGCTAAGGTACTTCAGCTCTACCTGCCTAAATGTGAATAAGCCAGGAGGTGCCCTTCTGCCCACAGGACACCTCCAGAGTTAGTTTGCTCTAACACTCTTTGCATGGCCATCCTTGTTCTCAGAGCTGTACAGTTGGTGCGAGTTATTTTTACAACTCTCTCAAATTTTAAGTTAGGAAACTAAAACTGAGAAAGTAACAGAAGGTTTGCAGACAATCTAGTGGGATGAGATTCATACCTGCAGGGTCCCCTCCATAAGGTTTTATTGGAATTGCCACTGTATCTCTAAAAGATGGACACATACACTTAGCTGAAACACCAAACCAATATGAAAGATCAAAGAACCTCAAGAACTTGATACACTTGGCAAAGCATCCTTTTCCTCTGCCACCCTGCCGAGTCTTATCATCTTGCATTTACACCAGACAGAAATCCTTGGGGCAGTGGCACTGTCTTTTTTTTTTTTAGCACTGCAACATTCCTGTACATTTTCAGTGCTGGACACAAAACAAGGATGAATGACTCCTCTTGGCTGCAGGCCTTGCTTTACCCATCTGCTCCTCCCTAGAAGCCTGCTGCTCTCTTGGAAAGCAACCTACCCTGAACTGGGAACTGACAGTCGGTCTGCGCCTCTGGGTGCCCATCTTCAGTGTCTCTTCACTGCAACGACTGCAGACTCTTTCAAAAAGGTCATAGATGAAATCGAGCCTAAGGGAGAAGAATTTAAGAAGATGCAAGACACTCACCACCTGTGAGAAGATGGCTCTTATTCTCAGATGTTGCCCTGTCCTAGTGTGAAACACCTAATTTTTATTCCTGCTATGCTGCAGAAGACAGTTCAGCTGGGCATTTCAGTGAGGAAATTAATATTTTCCATGTGACTGCCCAGACCCTGTAGGGTTGCCCTGAATGCCACACTTGGCTGCAAAGCAAAAAAACCCATATCACACTATCAAGCAGGTTATTACACAAAGGAAGATCTCCATTCTGCACTGGCTAGGACACCTCATGCCCCTCCCAACCCAGCTCTCATGGCCAGCACCCATGACATGCTCATTGCAACCACAGCCCTTCTGTGGCCAGAGGATTTCTAGAGCTACCCTCCGTGCAGGTCAGGTCTGGGAAATCTTACACCATTCTGCCACTCCTTATACAGTGGTGTTGGTTCTTACAAAGTGGCACAAAGTTCTCCAGCACTTCTTGTGCCAGTTTATCATTACGAGTGCTTCTAGCAGAAATCCCCTTTGTGGCTTATTGAAAAACCCCGTGTCCTTCTATTATGCTGGACAATGATGCCCATAATTCTGGCTTCAAGCTCCGTGTAAAATGTTCCCCAGATGCCACTGCCCAAGTAAGGCAGCTCATGCTCTCAGCTTCTTTAGGTTGCTTCTCACAGAGCAAACTCTACAGCAGTCTTCAGAGAAGATGCAATTTCGAAATAGTATCATCAGGCTGGAGCCCAAAGGCAATACATGGACTGTGGTAAGAGGCACGTGGTAGATTTGCTACTCAAAAACTTCTAGGGTCTGCCATGTTATTAAATGCCTCTCTTCTTCTATTGAGGCCCCACTCTGACTTCCAGACCTTGCTCAAGGCCAAAGTCAGCTCATTTCTCTAGGGTCATATTGCAGCACTGGAATATAATATTAGTGGCCATGCCTGGTCCCACAGCAAGGGCTCGGTCTGGCTCAGGATAAGGACAGAAGCTTTCCACTAACAAGCCTGGAAAACAAGCAACCTCTGTGCAAAGGCTGGCACTGGGCAGCATGGCAAAGAACCGTGACCCATTCAGGGGCAAATGGGCAAATTTGCCATTGTTGGGACAGGGAGGTAAGAGGAAGAAAGGAAAAGGGAGAAGAGAGGAGAGAGAGAATCAGCATTGCCTGGAGACATTTCTGTCATGCTTTTATAGCTCTTTTTAAAATTGGGACAACAAGACTACTGATGAAACCTGTGTCTTATCTGACTTCTCCAGCTCTCCTTTATTTTGCCAGGATGCTTAAACACAAAGAGAAGAATGATAAAGAATGATGCCTGGTGCTCAGAGAAAAGCAATTGCTTTCCTCGGTCTGGTTATTATATGAATGTGGTTTAGTCCAGCCCAATAGATGTGACCTCCTCAAAAGCATATGGGGGATGTGGGGAGGTGCATACCTGCTGTCTTTCAGCATGTTTAGAATGTCATCTCGAAAGGTGTCTCTGTTCTTCTCCAGAAAGCCTCTCACATCATATAGCACCTGCAACAGACAGAGCCACCAGAACAGTGCAGGACAAGTAATTAAGCACGCCTACATGAACATGCCAAGGTACAAGACCTCCAGCAGGGCCACAGTTACACTGCAGGCAGGTGCCAAGATCCTAACTTTCAGAGTCAAAGAGCTCCAGAGCTCTCCACTTGCCAGCAAGAAAGTGGCTTTTAGCCATCAATAAAAAACCCAATTAACCAACCAACCAAACACCAACAAAAAAACCAAATGAAAACCAGGAGCCAAGCGAAACAGCTGCAGAGATTTGCCTGGGGGTGTGTGTGTGTCAATCTTCTGCAAGGTGTGAGGTGCTCCATTCTCTTCTGGAAATACTAACTATGCCACCCTGACCTCCCAACCTCTAGAGCTCAGCAGATATGATTCTAGAAGGGGGTTAGCTCTCCTTTAGTGTGCAGGTGCCCTCCTTTGGCACACCTTCATATGTTCCACATCTCTCCGCAACAAAGAGCAGATTTAGCCTTGAAGGCTTGGAGACCTTTTCCTTTTTCCAAGGGTCATTTAGCCTTTCTTCATCCTCTCCTAAAGTCAATTTTTCTTTGTGACTTTTGCTTTGGGTTTTGTTTGTATGTGAATGCCCAAGAAAAGGCAACATGAGTAAAAAAAGTAAGATGGAGTTTATATCCCAAACCAAAAATTTATCAAAGGAACTCAAACAAAAGTCCCAGCAAACAATTAGTGAATATAATACTCCATAATGACATGCTATTCTAAGCCCATCACAGCTCCTGCACTCTAGGACAGGGCATTCACTAACTGTGCAGAAACACACAGTCCTGAGAGATATTATTGACTTTTATAATCTTGATTTTTGGAATCTAAACAAGTCCAAGAGACACCAAACATCTCACATGAACACCTACCTCCCCAGCATAATGTTTTATGCCAAACTGATGGTCTGTTACGCGAGGCTTCATGTAGTAATGGTTGCTCTGAAATGAAAGGGAAAAAAAACTTTTGTTATAATGACAGAATAAATAGGCTTAGTCAGGAGCTCTGCCATGACTATGACAATGCTGGGATGGGCAAGGACCTTTGCTGTTGCAGAGCCTGACCCCATCTGCTGCAATCATCTGCAGTTACATTACAAATACATTATTCTAATAAGATGGAAATAATCCAACCCTTCAGGGCATGTCTCATGTGAGTAAGGGCTTGCAGAATCAAGGTCGGGCAAGCATGCCATGGATGAAATGTTAATTCCAGTGTGTCTGACACCTGAGGGGACTAGGCTCCACACAAACCATGTGGTGCAGGACACAAGACCAGGATGCAGGGAAGATGGCAGCTTTGCAGAACACCTACACATATTTTCTTTGTCAAAGAAAGTATGATACCAATTCTGTCTTCCTCTAGATATGATCTTTCTTTGCATCTCTCTTCCCCTTTTTCAATATTGTATTTTCCTTTCTCTTCCTAGCTCTTATACTCTCTTGTTTGTCCCCTGCTTTCTTTGTTCTATGAAAACTGTTAACTGTGTAAGAACTGCCACGCCACTCGAGGCCAATGGTCCATCCAGCTGAATACTCTGCCTCCAGCAGTGGCTACGCAGGGTAGAGTAAGAACGAGGCAACTAAATGACACTTTCATGCTATTACTCCCTCAGACTCTGACTGTTTTCATGAGATCTTCCTAACTAGTAACCCCAAGTGGACGTCTCTTTGAAATATTTGCCCATTCCACATCTGAACCCATGCAGATTTTTTGTATTCAGAGTGTCTTTTAACATAGTTTTCCATAACACTGAAGCTGTCCCACCAGTGGTGTTCACTGTTCAAAGTGTAAGTGATGCATGGATTATGCAGTACCACAACCATGTTTTCTGGTTTTATTTTTCTTCTTTCTTAGGAGTTCCTAAAACTTGATCTGGGTTTTTTTTTATTACTGCTGAGCACTGTGCCAGTGCTTCCATGGAACTTTGCATCACAGCTTCTGTCTGGGTCTTGCTTCTGAAGAGCAGCAATTGGCTCAGGACCCATCATTTCAAATGTGAAACTGGGACTGTTTTCCTTCAGGGTCACCATTTTACATTTAACTACACTACCTTTCATCTTCATTTTACAATTCAGTCAGTCTTATAAGGCCCTCACAGTCCAGCCTTTCCTCATAAATCATAAGAGAACTGCCACCTTGATGTTCATCTGGGACATTGTGGTACAGGACTCCCTCCACTGAGGTAACTGACCATTTACACTCTGAATTTATCCCATAGTAAAATAAGGTTTACAGGCCTATAATTTCCTGGAATACTTTCTAACAATTAAAATATTTTCTCAGTTTCTGAGAAAAAGAACTAAGAAGATTTTAAGTGAGATGTTGCACAATATTTTTAGTAATTCAGCTCTTTCATCTTCAAGTTATCTTAGCAGTACTGGGTGGTAGTAATTAGTTAATGCTATTGAAAACTTTCTTCTTGCTTTTTTTCCTTTTCATATTGACCCAATTTCTCTGCTCTTCCCTTCTCTCAATTCAGTCATCTTTCTCCAACCACAAACTTCCCTCTCTTCCAAGCCAAATGTGACTGTTAATGATTCTCTCATGTCGATTGGCACCCTCCCCTCCCTCTCTACCAAGTCCACATATCTCATCCAAGTCTACAGCACTTCTGGTTTCTTCTCCCATCTCCCCTACTCCTGCTCTCCCCAGCTGTCTCAAGAGGTCATATTCTCTTAAATCCCAGCCCTTTGCTTTTCCTCCCTAAGCAATCCACAGGAAACAGGGCTTGTTCTCTTATAAGGTTCTTCAGGCTTTCCAGCAACACTGGCTGGATGCCTGCCAGTGCTCTTCCAGGCAGCACTAGAAACTTTAACTGATACAAGAAATACTTTTGCCTTCAAAAAATGCAAACTCTAGGGAACTATCTACTCCATCATTCCTCCCTGCACTCCAGCTCCTCAGCCTCTTCTGTCTCTTGTAAGCTTGCTAGGGTTCCACGTTAACTGCTATCCCCTCAAAGCAGGCAGAGGTGACACTATGAACAGCTTAATGAAAAGGCTACTGAATGCACAGAAATCATCAAAATAGCAACCAAAATGTTGTGGGGCATAAAGGAATGCAAAATAATACTGACAGTCTCATGCTGCGGTACAATAAACCACAGGTACGTTCTTACCAAGGGAACTGCATTCTGGTCTGATTATTTATCTCAGAAAAGAATAGAGAAAAGATGCAGAGGAATTCAGAGACAAACAGCAGAATGGAAGAGGAGAGTTGAAATTTCTCCATTTGGAGAAAAACTGAAGAGGTTAGGACAGTTTAGAAAGATTCAAAAGAAGTGATGTATCAGAAGTATCCATATGTTCTACATTAAAAGGTAACAAAACACCAACAACATACTCACATACCTTGACCTATAACACAAGACCACAGCAGGCTAATACATGTAAGACATCAATTTAAGCCTAAAGAAGGGAAATATTTCCACAAAACAATGTGTAAATAGCCAACCAGAACTCATTACTCTTGTGTCCAATTTGTAGTCATGAGTATTACTAGCAGAGTTAGATGCAAATATGAAAAATAAGAACATCTCCATCTATGCCAATTAAAGAGAAAGCTGGATAAAAGATACAAATTTCTACATTATCAGACTTAGATGAAGCCTGACTCAGAGGACTAGGAAAGGTATTAGCTGACAATGTTCTTACTAAAGTAGTAGATTATTCCATAAACCCCTGCTACAGGGTTTCATTTGCTTTGTTTTCAGTCTATTTACTATCAGGAAGAACAGAGTGTTGGCTGTACCGGGGACAGGGCAAGAGCATCCTACAGGGCTCCTCTTACTGTGGTTTGCATCCCCAGTTTAACTTTTTGACCTGCATGAAAAATCCCTTCTACTCCCGTGTCCAAAATAGAAGAGGAAAGAATTCAATTAATTAGGAACAATAAGAGAGCTTTCATTAAAAGTCATGAGGCAAAAGCTGTCCCCAGCCCCAGGAGACAGAGATTTGATGTGCTCTGGAGCAGACTGCTGTGAGTCAGCTGGCAGGAGAAGCCACGCACCCTGCGCAGCCACATCCTGTGCCTGGGGTGCTGCCCCATGTCCTGTCGCAGACCAGCAGAACCCAACCTCCATCCCATGCTACAGTCCATATCTCCTTCGCCCAGAGCCTGTGGAATGCACAGTCCCTCTCTCTATGTGAGCAAGAGGCCACTTGCAGGTTTCTTCACATATCACTTTTGTTCAGTGCAGCTTTATTAAATACTCACAGGTTCCTGCCTGAAGCGTTTTAAATTTCCTGCACAAAGCACATACTTTACATAAACAAAACCTTCACTTTCAGTTTTGAAATGCTGATGGGGCTAACATACTGATCATTTGCCTGCTGGGTTATTCCCTTACTTACCATATGCTGGCTGTGAAGTTTTTCCAGAAGGGTGTTGTCTGTGCCTTTGGGGAATCGACTCTCTTCATTCACCAAAGCCAGCAAACCCAGTTTCTACAGCCAAACAAGAGACAGGCTTTTACAGTCAGCAAAAGCTCTTAACTACACAGCACCAAGCCAAGAACTGGAGATTTGGACAGCACATTGATCAGTAAACCCTGAAATATACCCAGCAAAGCTTAAGATGAAAGCAGAATTCTGCCCAGTCAATGCATTCAGTAAACAGAACATAAGTTAAGATCTTTTATAAAAAAAATCACATTATGGCTTTATTTAAATGCTGCTCCATAAGATTACTCTCAACAATGAGACTCAGAAATATGCATTCTTGAGCTGGGACTACGGCTAGAACAGCTCACACTTTTGCCAGGTCACGATGGGAAGAAGATCTAAGAAACTACCTGTTTTTAAAACCAGGAACCCCCAGGGAAGGTCTCAAGACAATCAGTTGTCCCTGCTCTGACCCCTGGAAACTGTCACAGATAACTGCTCACCTTCTCAATAAGGTCCAGGCACTCTGCATTATCCATCCAGTCAATGGCTTCCCAGCTTATCCCTTCCCTGAAAGTCAAGAAGAAACATAACAAAGACATGAAATGTAAGATCCAATGTCCTGAGGTGCAGGAGAAGTAGCTGAGGACAGCAACTGTTCCAGGACTCAAGACAATTGGCAGGAATTAGGCTTTGCCATTGCTGAGGAAAAAGGACACACAATGCACTGCTACCAAAGGGAGACGGAAGTAGGATACAGCCTTTCTTATCCATCCCAGCAATTTAGACTGATGCTTATCTTGTAGTCATTGAGCAAATTCCACTCCAAGCACTAAGAATTTATAGTTGCTCTCAGTTGCTCTTTCAGAAGTTATGAGCATCAGGCCAAGGGGTGATGATGATGATCAGGTTGCTACACAGCTTCAAGAGGCAACTGCTGACTCAGCAATCTGGAAAGCAGGCCTAATGCACACCTTCCAGAAGACTGAGTCACAATTCATAGGTCCCCCAAGAAGAAACAGGAGTAACTTTTCAGGGAGACTTTTGAATAGGATGACACACAAGCTTTGGCCTGATGTGCAGGGGGTCTACAGGGTGGCCCTGCAACTTTCAGAATGGGAGCTGATGGAGGTACAGCAGTGTGGTAACTGTGCTTTGAAAATCATCCATGAAATTCTGTCAATCTGTGCTGAATGTGTTTTCCCCCCTCTTACCACCTTCTTGTACTCCCACAATGCGGGCTGTTTCCAGAATTCAGAGAAGCCTGGGAATAACATGCTTAGAAATCCAAGGAAGACTGCAGGCTGTGTGTGAAGCTACTGACTGACATTCTGATACAGACATCTTTCAGGTGAAGGCTAAGATTTGGAAGACAGTGAAGCTGTTTTCTACAAACCTTTCAGCCCAGGCTTCATACTTTCAGGTTCAAAGCATTCACAAACCTGTGGGCAATAGCTGGAAGCAGCAAACTGGTATAACTTCTGAAGAATGGAAAGAGTTATCTGTCCCCCACAGGAAACAGAATATCTTAATGACAAAAAATATCAGTTTGCAGTGCTTCAGATTTTGCAACAATGGGTGTCAGAAAAGCCATAAATTTTTACAAAAAGGCCTCTTGGATTCTTTCTAAGGAGACCTTCCAGAATTGAAGAGAGCAGAGTTTTCTGAAACAAATCAAATCACAAATGAACCACAGGCTCCTCATCTAACTGAATGCTGAAATACATGGAGGTACTTAGTAAACCTGAGGAAGCTGATGCTGTGAAAGATGAGCTTTAATTACATCACCCTAGGATAATCTGATGAGTAGTCAATAATAAAATTATCTTGTTCTTTCCAAAGTTCAGCCACAGAACTTAAGCTCCTATATAATCATCAGGAAAAAATCTTTTGTTATGATGATACCATTCTTAAAACAAGTTTCCTGCAATGGTGGAATTGGCCTGAGAAGTGAGTGCATAAATAGCCTTGCAGTTCTGTAACCTTTAGAATTTCATGAATTGCCTATTCAACTGCCTCCCTTTACAAGGCTGCTTTCATTTGCCCTCACTGACCCTATTCAATTGCTTCATTCACAAACACAAAAGCTTCTGTTTCAGAGCAAGAACTGAAGGATTTGTCTAGCAGCCTTCTCTAGAAGCAGAAACACTCTAGAACATCCCAGGTACTTCACAAAATACAATCCATATGAAGCCCACAGAGGAGAAACAGCTGTGCAGAAGGCCTCATGCTCTTTAAGCTCAGGAAACAGCCTTGCTGAGGAAAACAGCTCTCTTCACAGCATAGGAATCTCTAAGACAGAAAGAGCTGTTGCATATCTGTCCCTCTATCTTTAGGGATGCTACTTTTTGCACACCAAGATTCCACCTGCATAACAACTCCACTACCTTAGGTAAATCATTACTGAAGTCATTAATAAGGCCAGTGACCACATGTTCTAATGGTATAAAGCCCAAGATCTTCCCATTCAGCTGAGATATAGAAAAGAACCTGGACTTCCTACATTCTTCAGAGGAGAAAGCTTTTGCTTAAAAACAAGTGACCTGTGCTGGCAAAGCACATGGACAGTGCTTACAGAGACACATCCACACTCAGGGACGCACTACGGTCCAGTTCCCTCTCCTGCCTTCGCAGAGCACAGAGGAATTACATCCTGCACTCTACCATGAAAGCAACAGGGGGCCACTCT